TATTTTCACTGATTCATTCCTTCAGAAAAAATAGCAATGAAATAAATTCTAAGTAAAAGTAACATACTTTACAGTATCTTAATAACAGTGAGTAGGCATCAATGCTTCATACACTATGCATGTGTAGCTGAATTCTCGTACAGCAGTCTGAGAGTGGTAAACATGCTACTTCACAGTATTTGTGTTTCCTGCTGTTTGAACATGCGTAACATTTAAAATGTCAATATACATGTAATGTCATTTACCATACCAAACATGTGTCATCAGTAGACACAATACTCACAATAAATACTCACACTGACGAAGAATTGCGCTTGAAAGGTTCTTTCTAGCTCCTGCAGTATTTTACCGTTTCCCCGCTGATCGGTCTTATTTTGTTCATGTGTCATCAGTGGTGTTTTACACTAGATATGACAACTGTAAGGGACACTTGGTCATTTGTTATACATGTATAAATAATGTATAAGTATGTCTTTTATAGCTGGTATCTGTTCTGTTGACTATGACATATTACAGACTTGAGGGTTAGGCTTGATTGATTGCCTGTCAGTCTGTCTGTCAGTCTGTCTGTCAATTTTTTTATTGAATCTTCTCAAAAGTAACACATTAGTTACACCCCTCCCCCCTCCCAGAATCAGTGTCAGTTTATTTTGAGTTTTGGTGAAATGATATTTTCTACTGCTATTCGTATTGATTTCCATTGCCTGAAAAGATTTGTTAATTCAGTGACAATGTCTGCAATCTGATTCTAGAGTCTGATTCTGCTTATATATATAATGCATTTCTATTTAGTGAATTTATCTTTAATAGGATACATGTGTTGATTGTATCACAAGACACTCCCTGTGCATTTTAGCTAATGAATTTGTCACACTGTGTTCTAGACCTAATATGCATGAATAGAGAACACACATGTACACATCTAATTACATTCACTCATCTCTTATTATATAACAATGCAATACCTATTCTGAATATATACTCTAATGGGCAAAACATTAACATTGGGAATTTGATTTTGTGTCTGGGTTTGCAATTTTATTCTTTTGCTCATTGCCTTTTCCTTGGGGATCATGTGACCTTATTGATATGCATAGATATAGTAAGCAATAATAGATACATTTATATTGCTTATTGAATGTCAAGATAATTGATGGGCATGTTTCTAGCAACAATGGCGCCTTTTTACCCCCAATGTCGCCTAAGACAATTGAGTGAATCTGTTCATACAGCTGACTGTTCATTATCCATCCTTTCCTCTATCAACTACTTCTTGAAAGCTTATCACACCAATCATATTAGATTTGTTCATTTCTTGATGATATCTTTAATTCTTTTTAATATGCTGTCAAGTCAGACAATTTCCACCAATGAAGTTATCTAAAATAATATGTTTATGTTACATTACTCTTTTTAATAGAGATTTACAGATGCTGCACATTTTGTAACTTTTCTCATCTTTAAATATAGTTATATTTTTCCAAAGTGCAAGGTATAAAAAAGGTGATGAGAGCCACCACTCATTCTGAATGCTGATTCTCTCAGCACATTTCAAATACTATATAAATGATAGAGGGTAATTTTCACCTGTAGTAGACGTCATGATCACTTTTCAAATCGTGATGGTCAAGTAGAATTATGATCTCTGTAATTATTTGAGACATAGTTTCCACATCTCCAGAACCAAACTGTTCCATTTGAGATAATTCCAGTGAGAAGTTTTTCATGTTGGAACTTTTTAAACTTGATAACTTACATGGGCTGTGTATTGCAATTACCATATTTAGCTCTATTAGAAGCACATTTTCTAAAAAAAAGCCTATACAAATCATTATAATATTACTTATTTTGACCATATAAACACATGTGTAACCTATGTAAGCACTAATAGAGCAAATACAGTACTTGCCTTTATTATTTGTTCATGTTGTAAATGTAATTTGGACCTAGATGTGTAATGCATTTTCCATCCAGTATTTTAAAATGCTAGGGCAAGGACACATTAGTTGCACTATGTTCTTGTGGCTGTATGTCCATTGCTGAACACAATTACTGTCACATGGCCGTTGACGCTCATAATGTATCAAAATATGTTGATGTAATAATCATGAAAGATAATTGTGAACTGTTAAATTGTAAAATCTGTATTAGAAGCCGCGGCTTCTATTAAAATGATACAGTGCAACTGATGGGATGCGGCTTCTGTTAGAGCATCTACACATATGAGAAATGAATTTTTGGTTCTCAATTATTCCAAAATAATAGGTGTGGCTTCTATTAGGAATGTGACTTCTAATACAGATTTTACGGTAATGCCCCAATAATTGTTAACTGCATTTTAATCACAGTGTAATTAAAAAAAATTAAATTGTTCATGCTTGGATACAGACTTGTTGGTGTATCATATGGTGACTGTTGTACATGTTTAACATTGATCTTTATTAGAAATGATAGTGTTGAAATATTGAATAGGTAATTTTCCATTCAACTGTGAAATCTCGCGTATTGCATGAAAAATGTGAGACGAACGTCTGCCGCAAAAAATCAAAAGATTTGAATTTTGAACTCAATTTTTTTTTTCATAGCTCGAAAGGCCGAACTTTGAAAGACCATCATCACTACGATGCTATGACCTTTGTTTGTCCTGATTTTACGCTTGATTTCATGCATAATGCAGGATTTCACAGTGAACGGAAAATGGTCTATTGAAATGATGTTTGTTGGTGCTTATACTGCATTGTTTTATCCAGTGACACTCTACTATAAACTGCTTTTTTTTCAACAAACTAATTTTTTGTGAATTTCTCAAGTCTCTGCTGTCCTTCATTATAGAGCGTTAGTGATGTTCACAAAATGTTATCTTCACGAATGTCATAAATTGCTGAAATTGTAAACCTAATCTATCAGTGAAATTAACAGTACTTTTATTTTTGTAAATTACGGTTACTGGATTTCCTCTTTTCATTTTACTCTTTAGAATTGTGATATATTTATTCAATCTAGGTTCTATCTCAGCTGAAAAGTTGAGATAATATTTGCACATTTTGATGTTGCACATGTATGTTATACATTTGCATATGTGTTTTACATAATTATACATGGCATATGGGTAACAGAATAATACAATGTGATACAATAAATATATGATGTGAAACAGAAAAACACAATTCTTATTTTAGTGTAGTTTGAACCCAGTGCAGATAGCAAGGTACTTCCTGTCTTGCAGTGCAGCACTCCATTCGTTAAGCCACCCATCAGCTAGATGTACAATTAAGTTGGCAAGTGTCTCGCATACAAATTCATTGAGATAGACTGGAGCAATTTAACACATGCACCTGGTGAAGTTCATTCATTCCTTCAGTCAGTCAAGGAATCAGCTAGGGTTGATTCATTAAATCTCAGGAGTAATACTGTCAACCAGCAATCAAATATCTGTGATGACAAATCCACTTCCATAGATCATGGATATAAGTGATCACCGACATTACATTGGTGTGAGATAACCGTGTGACATGTCCCCTTCTCCCTCCCAAGTATATATTACATACATGTATATTCATACATATATTAAACTCATAGTTGCTGTCGACATAGGAAGTAAAGTAAGCAAATAACACCGAATAA